GCGCTGCACCCGTCGGCTCGTGGCCGTCGAGCGTTATAGCTAGCCAGAGACCGTCACGATCTACCAGTATGTCATCGTGGTGCGACCGTCAGCGCGCTTAGCAACGAGGTGGCATGTCACTGCCGATGGCTACATGGCGCCGGGCCCCGGCGCCACCCTTGAGCAACGATGCATGCACCCAGGTGGTCCATCAAACATCCTAGGTCGTCGCCGTTTCTGTCTACGCCGTCCTTCGCGAGTACCGATGTAAGGCCATCCTCGGCGATGCACCCCTTGCACTCCCCGCACCTCTGCGTCCCCGTTCGTCCAAGCGGCGCGTGTTGTGTCGTCTGTCGGCCGTCGCACACGTGCAGCCCCCCCTCCCAATCGTGCTTGCAGGTGCCTCCCCACATGCCCAGCTTCCGCCGAAGCTAGCAGCAATGAAGAAGGCGGGCGGCCCCGCAGACATGCGGGATTCATCTGCGCGATCCGTGACTTGACAATGGTGCCGGGTTGGATTTCACAACCGGAGTTCATGGACCCGGCAGACCCGACGGATGAGCCAGGGTACATGAGGGCGTTGAGGGAGTCGGTGGAGACGCTGGCGCAGGAGACCGCGAACGAGGACAGATTTTTTAGCTACTTTAGCGATGACGACGACGCAGATGACAGTGACAACAGATTCATTGACCTCTGTGGGAGCGGGAGCGAGAAGGAGTAGTTAGGGTTTTTCTCGAATGAGTTTCGTTGAAAACAGTGTAAACATCCTAAAATTTGAATGAAACTTGTGATGTTTGAATGAATTGTGGAATGTTTTGAATTATTTTTTGAATGGAATTTTAGTTGTTTGTTTGAATGAATGTTTCTTATTTTTTGTTTGTTTGAATTATTGTTGGGAAATAATTATAAGGGGCAGCCTGATGCGCGTAACCCCATCTTGCGCACGGCCCGGGGAAGGGTCCGATCATTTTGGGTCTATTGTATGCATCATTTCCCTACATTTCCGCATGTCACAAGGCAACAGCTTTACCGTTGCACCAAGGCTCCCCTTCTGTTGGAAAATAATTCTTTGTATTTTTTATATAAAAATAGGATACACAAGCAGGGAAGATATCTACAATATCAGCAGGTGTAGAAAGAAGATATCTAGTAATATCACAAGCAAATTTAGAAGAATGGTCACATTAATTTGGTGAAAGATGCTGGATTGAGCAAAGACAGAACCATCATGCATGATATTGATCTTGGGGCAAGCATAATACATGAAGCATGCATCAGGTCCTAACATACATCGGGTCTAAACATCAACTTGCACCATCTCTTACTACTACATAGATCAGCTTGCAGGCTCTTCCACTTCTACAATCCATTTTGCACTTCTTTGTACTTCCATCTGTAAAGCAATGCAGGTATCAAGTAAGAACTAACTATATAAGTTTCATCTGTTCTCTTTGTAATGTTTTATCTATTTTCTCTTTATTCTCCCATGTACAAGTAATACCAAGTTAAAGAATATGCCATATTTTCTAGAATAACATGGAAAAAACATTGTACAACAAATAAAAAAAGGATCTTCAATGTGCACATATATGCAAAAAAAATAGATATAGCTTTGCCATGTTTAAAAAATAACCAGAATGAAATTGCCATGTGACAAATTCCCACGATTGTAAAACAGATGTAAAATTGTCATGTGAAAGAAGTGTAAAACATTCCCAAAATTGCCATGGTCTAAATATACAAATAACAACACATGTCAATTTAGGATTTTTCTACCAATAAAAACATGAAAGGTTTTTCAATTTTTTTAATTGACACATGAAACAATTATAAGATTTGATCTTTAACATAGATGGCAAATGTAGCAAATTGCAAGGGGCACATGACAAATGTAGGATATTTGTTCTTCGAAAAAAGATGAAAACATTAGTAAGTTGACAAAATTAGGAGAATTGTCATGTCTTTCTCATTCCATGCAAGTACTTATGCATGCTTGCTATGTGTTTGTCAGGGCCACATGACAAAATTCAGTACATTAACAATACTAATAATATAAAAATGAAAAAAATTCAATGCTTTCTTTCTAAGTACATTAACATTGGGGTCTACTAAACCCTACACATAAATTTTCTAGATAAGATATCTATGAAAGACTATCTAACTACATTAACATTGAGGCTTGAAGATTGGATACACCTCTATTGTGCGCCGGTGGAGCGTGCATTCCTCAGAGAGCGGCGGGAGAAGCGGGGAGAGCGACGAGGCAGGACCACCTCCTTCGCATGCAGCCTCCTCCTATGCAGATTGACTGACGAGGCAGCAGGGAGAGCGATGACGCATGGCGCATCGCCATGACCAGCCATGTCCAAAGTCGTGCCATGGCCAACACCATCGTCAACGTTGTGGCCGCCCTGAGCAGCGCCATGACTCGCTCCATCGGCATACAGGCTAGACTTGTAGGCCCTCCAGCGGTACCTCTACAACCGGGTCATCACTCTCCGCCTCCATCATCTCCCAGTAGAGGTACTCCACGGGAAGAGCGTGGTTCGGGCGCATGCTGGCCTTCTCCTCGTCCGCGAGACAACCGACGATGTCGATCGCCTCCTCGTAGAGCATCGTCGGGTCAGGGAACCACGAGCATATCTCGCGCAGCCGGGCGAGCTTCTCCGCACCGCCAGCGGCCACGTGAACGAGGATTAGTGCCAGTGAAGCGGTGATCTCCATTGTGGCTTGGAGATTGGACGGTGACGGCTGGGAGATTGATTAGCGAGGGTTAGGGATTTGGGCGAGATGGGTGATTTTAGACGGACAAAGAGGAGTGGTGGAGTAGAGGCGATTGGCTTGAAGTGATGCACTAGAGGCGGCTGGGAGATTGATTAGCGAGGGTCAGGGATTTGAGCGAGATGGGTGACTTTAGACGGACAAAGAGGAGTGGTGGAGTGGAGGTGGTTGGCTTGAAGTGGTGCACTGGAGGCGGCTGGCTTATTGAATAAGGCTGCAGTGTGACTTATGGGCCCAAGGGCGCAAGGCGCCACGATGGAGCGCAGTCTTTCTTGAAGAAAGCTATGGGGTTTCCCGTAAAAGGGCAGCACCACACCACGACACCAAAGTGACCGACCGTCGAGGGGCCCGTAGGAAGGACCATAGATGTTATATATTTTCATGTATAAAGACCGTATATAGTGTTTCTCGAGTTGCAGTACGAAAGTGTTACACGCCAGAGACTTGGATGACCACAAGTGTAGTTTTCCCCTGCAAAAAATGTCACAACGCAGCTAAGATGGATGGATGAGATGTAAATTTACAGAAATAGTACTATGAAACTGCACGTTTCACGAACACATGATTTGGACAGAGTTCCTACGCTCCCAAGTCCCAAGCATGGTTCGGAATCTTGTGCTCAAAAGAATCTGCATGTTACTTCGACCAGATTACACATGGCCAATCCACAACACAAGCTTAATGAGAAATGATCATGGACACCTGTACTACACAAGTTGACATGACACAACCACTTGGGCTCTTCCAAAGCATTAAATTATGGACAGACGATGCAAATCTTGCATTTCATCCCATTTATAGACATATTTATTTATTTAGAAACGGGGAGCCACGGACATGACTGTTTCTTAATGCCCCCCACACCCAAAGGAGAACTATAACAAAAAAAAAGAGTGTCATTGTCGCCTCAGATGCATAAAGGAGTATTTCTCTAAATGATTGCCCTGTCAATCATAAACCTACAAGTCAGCTCAACAAAAGAAAAAGGGTTTCTTCTTTCGGAAGTTTTTTTCTGGCAAATTACATTTTTGTTTCGTTGTTGACCTCACAGCTACATGTATAAAATGCAGTACAAATTAATCGGGTCACACAAGGTGAGCAATACTCTGCAATAGAACTACGTACATGATTACCATACACAGCAGGATTTTGTAATACTTTAGTTCAGAGACTTCACGATGCAAAAAAAAATAAAAAATCAGAGACTCAAACATATTCCAGTATTGGCGCACCATACCATGCAAATACAGGTAGA